TGTTTATTTACCTGACCATGGTCAAAAAATTTGAACAACTCATTAGCGTCTATTTCAGAGATGAAAGTGAAGCTGGAGGTGGGCCCAGGCAATTGAGAAGATTCCACTTGAACCTCTCACCAAGGCCCCTCGATTCCCTGCTCTTAGTTTCCGAGCTCTGAGGCGCTGTCAATATTTATTGATATGGCCTGTACATATAAATACGATTTTATGTGATGACCAAAAACCGAATGAAGAAACATGACCATTTTCACTATCATTTCGCTTCATTGTTATTGTTTTGCTGAGCTGCACTCTGTCTGTGGAATGTCAGTGTTTTGCTCATCTCACAAAAACCAGTAAGCTGCAGGTGCTGCTGCCGCCTGCTGACCAGTAAAAGTAACGCTCCTTCTGCCTGTCTGTTGGTCTGGTGGTCTGCTGGTCTTTTGGTCTGAAACTGGCCACAGTTGACAGACTTTCTTCTACAGTCTGTCCAGTTTTTCTGCATATTGTTTACTGCTGGCCCACTGGACACTGTGGCTTCTTCTTCTTTTTCGTCGGGCCGCGACGAGACCAGCCAGATCTGGCCAAGACCAGACCGAGACCAGGCAATTAAGTCGTCGCATCCGCCTGCAACTTTCATAACGGCAGCATCCTGCTCCCTTTTTCTCTCTCTCTCTCTCTCTGCCGTAACTGCGTAATGAGGTCAAAGTGGTTGACCCAGAGCACAGATGGCGCAACATCACACATTCTAATTAGCACTAAAAAGAGACCTCGACGGCGATCAAAAGCGAGCTATCTAGATGCACAAAGGTGGGATGTTGTTGCAACAAGTCATCATCAAGTGTGTGCACTGCAGCTGGCAAATCCCTCTTCTTTGTAATTACTGTCATCGCTGCGCCACATGAGGTGGTGCTTAAAAAAAAAGATGAAACTCGTCTTGGTCTTCGGCTGTGTTCTACAAACAAGCTGCAAGTGCAAGAGTTTCTCGATGTTTTCTCTGGAGAAACGTCTGCTTATCGATTGATTTCTAATTAACAGGAAATGGCAGACTCAGATCTAGGTGGTTCTAATTAAAAGAGGTTTGAAGTGTTGGAGAAATTGGGATATTAATTCAAAGAACTTATCCAAGAAACTTATTTAAACACCTAATTAATATATTCAGATATTTATTAGTTTACATAATAGTTATAAAACTCTGAAAGTACTCATTTAAATAACTCCAAAAGCCATTAGATTTATCTTTCTTGTTTATTATAGCTACCATAAATCTCACTCAAAAGTTAATTAATTGAAAACCAATTGGCTTTTTCAAATTTATCCACCAATAATATTTAAATACTTCATAAAATATTTCCAACCAGCTATACCTTTTCTTGTGATTTAGACACCTGTTCCGCTCTTAGCAGCTAATCACAATTTTTAACAAATTTACTTCAGCTCAGAAAATGCTCGAGGAGCGTGATATATAAATAAAATTTGTTTGCCAGCTAAGAAGAAAAATCCAGTAAAAAAAACCAGTTAGTTAGAGCCAGGCGACCAGCGACCGCTGTAAAATGTAATGTATAAGCCGGAGATTAATGGCCATGTAAGGGGTGGTGGTACAGCAGGTGGGAGGGGTCTTAAAAGTAAACGAAAATGTTTGGCAGATGCAACCACGAAGCACTAGCACAAGTGTCTTGGAATTAATTATCTAACAATTCGGATTCGGAATGCTGCACAGATGTGCGCAAGATAGTGTGCTTAGAAAAACATCTTTTAAAGATTTTAACTCTTCTTTTTCGACTGCTGTGTTATTTTGTAATATTTATTTGGCTATTGAGCACGCTTTGAAGGTTGCTTTTTGCACGCCGCACAGGTGAATTATATAAATAAATAGTAATTTGAAGAGCCTAAGCCATCATTAGTCATTTAGCCGCCAAAGGAGACACGAAATAAATGCCTTTCTCCCGCAACTTATATTCACAAGTGCCACCCCATTGAAGTGTGTTCAATAAAGCAAGTGTTGCATAATAAAAGAAAACAAGCCACAAAATACAAAAGTCAGGTCAGAAAATCACAAAAAAAAATCAACAACAATGAGACAAAATGAGAGCTGCTACTTGGGAGCAAGTGCCTCGAGGAAAGAGTCGAAGACAATTGGTTCGAAGATATTTCAGCAGCTGCTAATGCCCTTACCCACGGCAATTAGCCGAAGAAAAAACTTGTCATATACCCAACGTATTGGTAGCTTTTGAAAATAGGAAGAGCAAATGAGGCAACGGAAATTCAAATTACAAAATTTACAATCCGTGAAAAAGGCAAAAGAAAAAACATGCAATTGCGCGTGGCCAAAACAAAGACCAAAACACAAAGTGTTATCAGGCGGAAGAGTTTCGAATATATAGTATATATATTGACCAGGGACCGAGAGACCCAGCAATATGTGTAATGCATGACCATGGACGGGGCTCAGGCCTCGAACTCGGGCAACTTTCTCCATTAACTGCGAGTATTTATTAGTTTGGTATGCACAAGACAAACTCTGGGCTCCGCATGTGCTAGAAACGCTGGAGTACTGGCATGCCTCTGACTAATGGCCATATATTCATGTTCCCAACTGTTGCCGAGTGGTACTGGGGCTGTGGTTGTGGGAGTTTCTTGACGTTGGATAGGTCAGGTTTTCTGGGCTAGGTCAGTTACGGTTTGGTAATTTTTTTGAGGTCACTGGGACTGTTTTTCTATGAACTGTTGGTAAAATTTATGTTAAAAGTTTTAGAATGAAATGATTTCTATTCTATTCCAGCTTATTACATCACTTTTCCCCAGTTTTTACTTATTATTATTTTAAAAATCAAATAGTAGACCATTTTAAGGGCTACAGACGTCTACCTTTATTTTTTTGTAAACTTTTGTTGAACCCACATTCCCGATAAGACAATTTTCCTTTCAACTTACTGATCTCTTTCAATCACCAGTAATTTATTTCGACTAATTTGCAATTTACTCTGGTTAGTTAAAGATAATTAGCTCTTTTGTTGGGAGGATAGACAAAGCCCAGCACGCGTTCCAGCCATTTGTAATAAAATTAAACCTCAGCTTAGATCAGCCAACTTAAATCCGGATCTAATTGCAAGCAGAGAGCTTATATAAGATGCAGTTTTGATTAGTTGGCAAGTGGCCAAGTTGGCCAAGCGGCTCAAACCCAGAACCAGTCGCACATCAATAAGCACATCAAAATTTGCATACAATTTTCATGGTTTTTATGTAAAGATATAAAACAATAAGCCCATTTGCATAGGTTTAAGTACAGTGATCGCACCCCATGAGAGAATACCCGCACACTGTTGCTGGGCGAAATAAGCAGTCAGCAGTTGTTCTCACGTTTTGGGAATAGAAACCAGGTTGAAGGCCTCTCGCCCAAATGGAAAACTACTTAATTAGACGAAATGGAATTAAATTGTGCAAATTGACAATTGTAAGCGACAAATTCCATCTACGAAATACACTCAAAATTGATCAAAATCGATGCAAAGCATTTCCAATCACTGATTTTGCATAAAACCCAGCGGCTCATCCAAGCGGAAATGCAATGGGTGGGGCACATCAGGTCCAAGCCTAGTCAGAATCGTATTCTAAATCAGTTTTAGGCCGCACTTTTGGGGGGTTAGGCCAGTCTGGATTTGTCAAAAATCCGATCAGTTCAGCGGGTCTAATTGGTGTGTAAATACTCTGAAATTAAGTAAGCCAAAGTTGGTTCTAAGTTTATAATAAATGGAATTTGCTGTTTAAGGATTTACAAAGTTTAAAGGACTGCTGTATTTGCAAATCGAAAAAGACTTTTAAGTATTTTACAGATAGCACTATGAATTACCTCATAAAGTTGTTAAATTAAAATCTTTTATGACATTTTTATAGCTGAAATAAAAGAGTTTTCCGTGACTATAAGCCCGTTTACTTTATGATGATGAAGTTAATTAATAGTTCCGGAAGACTTTTTCAATAATAAATAACTTATCTTTATGCATTTTCTGCCCTAAACTAATAAGTTTTTCACATATTTTCCCAGCTATCCAAATATGTCTGTGCTGCGAGCACTGCTGCTGCTGGCCTTCAGTGCCACCGTGGCGCTGGCTCAGCGTCGTCTGGCCCTGCCCGATCCTAGGAGTTGTGCCAACCGAGTGCGTCATGCCAGCTACCGGGATGCCAGGGGAGTGTCCCACTCTTACTTCTTCAGCTGGGAGCATGCTCCCACCCGCAGTCTGGAAGTGGATTGGCTAGATGCAAGGAACATCTGCCGCAGGCATTGCATGGATGCCGTTTCCCTAGAGACGCCGCAGGAGAATGACTTTGTAAAGCAGAGGATCGCCAGGGGCAATGTGCGTTACATCTGGACCTCGGGCAGGAAGTGCAACTTCGCCGGCTGCGATAGGCCCGATCTGCAGCCCCCTAACGAGAACGGATGGTTCTGGTCGGGATCGGGAGCCAAGATTGGACCCACCTCCCAGAGGAACACCGGCGATTGGTCGGCAACGGGTGGATACCAGCAGCCTCAGCCCGATAACCGAGAGGCTGCCCAGGGCAACGATGAGAGCTGCCTGTCCATTCTGAACAACTTCTACAACGATGGCATTAAGTGGCACGACGTGGCCTGCCATCACATCAAGCCATTCGTGTGCGAGGACTCCGACGAGCTGTTGAACTTCGTCCGCTCCCGGAACCCCAATGTCCGCTTGTAATTCTAACTAGCCTAAGCCTGAAGGAGATGAGACGATTAAAACTTACATATTTATGTAGCCTTAAACGGAACATTGATTGGTTGATTGATTGATTGTTTGATTCGTTGACTGTTCAATCCAACATTGATGGCCTCCAAACCGCCTAACATTCGTTTGTTCGGTTAAGTTCGCAGCAAAAGTTCTATAAGCAAAATTTGTAATAACATTTCTGTGTCGATCCGCGCATGATAAACAAAATTGTTAAATAATTTTAAAAATTGTTAATAAATACAAATTGAACCCAAGAAGAGTGAAAGGCTTTTGTTTTAAACATTTAATGCATAGGTATATTTGTATTTAGTTCATTATACGATTTCACTAGAAAATGCATGTATGTAAATATATATCCATAGATCGATCTGTTTATAGGTATTTCCTTTATCTGAATACTTTGGTAAGTTCTGTTGCTTGCGGGAACTTAATTGTCTAGTTTGTTAACACTAAAACTAATTTCATTTACGTTTAGGAATAATTCAATTATCAAACGATTCTTTTCCATTTAGAGTTTAGAGCTTTTGAAAAAGACACAAAGTTTGCAGATTTTATCTAATAAAGTAACTGGTACAGGGTTGATAGAGTGTCTCTTTAGCTGTTAGCTAGCTAAAATCAAAATCAAATTAAATCAAACAAATAATAATATACAAGCTTAAAACTAAATTACAAAATAATTTCGGGCTTCATCAGTGTTCTTCAGGCATGCTAAGAGAAATAATATACAAATATAATAAATTTTAAGAGTGAAATACAAATTAATCGAATCGTTCAACATAAAAATCTAACAACAATCAATAAGCAATTTAAAACTTAGTCACTTAAGCTTAGTCATAGAAATTAACGAGTGATTTCGGTTAACTGGAACTTATGGTACTGGTCGTTTAGCACAGAATATATAGTTCGGATATCGGTTATCGGTTATGAATGTTGTGTGGAGTTGGAGTTCTGTGTGTTTATGTGGGACTGTGGTGGTGGTGGTGGTGGGTGTTGTTGCTGGTATTTTGCTCAACAAAATACGGTCCTAAAAAGGGAGAATTTCAAACTGGTTAATACAGAATCGAAGAAGCTTTGGTAAGGGTTACAGAGCAGTATAGTTAGTTTAGCCGAATTTTGTCATAAAGCGCTTACGGTTAGTTTTTGGGTCGGATTAATAGCCACCGAAAATGGGGTTTTCTTTTTGGTTGTTTTCTTGGTGTTAGTCACATGCACATTCCCTCAGCCTAGACTCAAACCGTTAAGCCCCAAAGCCGAGCTTTACCTGCCGCAAGACAATTTCGAATTCAAATTCAACGACAACATCAAACAAAGGAACACCAATAGAGTCTATGTTACGACTACGTTGTGGTTACGCTAACGCATTACGTTCTCTACGCCTACGTTGTAGGCTAGTGTTATTTGTATACTTCAAGATTCGTTTGGTTTTCTGGTTAGCTGTGCGTGTGGGTGACTGAGTTTCTGAATTTTGGTATCTTTTTTTTATGATTTTGTTGGACTTAAGCAGTACTTGAGTTATGGGAGGCGCCACTGATCGCATTGAACAAAGCCATGCTGTTGCGCTGGTTTATGCTGTCGGCGTCGTCGCCAAGCGGCTGGAAGGACTCGTCGTCGAGCAACTCACTGAGCGCCTGGCATAGCTTCTCGTAGTTCTCCTTCAGCACATGATGGTACTCCTTCTGGTCTGCACTGATGATCCGCTCGTTGAGGAACAGGGCCTTCTGACAGACCACAATGAAGTCACTGCAAAGGAAAGCCATCATTTAATTGATTATGATTGTAAACTGGAGAAAAGAAGATTAACCGAAAGACATCCTTAAGATCTCCAACGCGATCCAATGAAAAGTTATTGACCACCTTAGCATCGAGGAATGCATGGGCGTAGGCCAGGGGACCGGCATTCACCGTCACAGCCACACTTCCCTGCAGACGCAGCTGCAACTTCTTGACATCGGCTGGTGGGAGTATGATCTCCTCCAGCTCTGAAACCTTGGATTGCATTTCATCGATGGCCACCTCTATGGGACTCAGCTCGATGATTTCTCGCGATTTTACAGGTATACGTTTGAGAACATAGGGGAAAGAATATTGTGCTGTAAAGATTCATAGTTAATATCTAACTAAATATATTTAAAAGAAAAGTTGTCTTACTTTTTATAACCGTTTTGCGTTTCCATTGCTCTTCTACACTGCCACGGGCTGCCCCCGATTTGGTGAACGGCGTTTCGTACATGAATGTGTCAACATCGTGATTCTGCTCGAATTCATTGAGCCGCTGGTCGAGTTCGTCCTTGGAGAAGAATGGAATTACATGGGTGACCTGTATATAGGCAAGTTTGGCATCCAATTCGTCCACCTTAACCTGAAAATATTAAGTTTTATACATTTTAGTTTAATTAATATATAAAAATGAACACCTTTAAGTCTGAAATCAAGTCGTCAGTCCAGTAAATATCAGAATGACATTCGATTTCGTGTTCTTTGTCTACTTCCTACCCTCAGCTGCTTTATTTCAAACTATTAAACAACTTTGCTAGGTTCTAGTAAATTGTTTGTTATTTTTATAGAACAACCACTGCCCACACACTAGAGCCACAGCAGTATCCAAATTTTGTATATATTTCGCGTTCACATTTTTAGGCACAAACCACCAGTTCATCAGATCGCCACCAGTCTGTTCCGTGTCCTGTCTGTCTGTTTCCGGTATGGAGCAGTTCTTCGGATTTCCGGCTAGTGGAATGGGTCTGGGATTGGTTCAGATGCCGCAGTGTGAATATCCAATCCCAGGTGCGATGGAATACTCGCTCAATCCCAATGCGGTGGAGTTCGTGCCTTCGTATCGTCAGAAACCAGAATTCCCAAGCACAGTAACCAAAACGGAGGCCACATCGACAACTACATTGCTCCATCCCGGAATGCTAGGGGATGCTGTGGATCATGCTGGAAATGGATTGCATGTCCGTCAGATCTTCGAGCTCCTGAGCCAACTGGGAGATGAACAGATGCCGCTGGAGGAGGTCTCAGTGGGTTTGTTACCAGGTGGCCAAGGTCTCAGCATGACATTCACCACAAATAAGCCAGGACAGCTGCCGCTTCCGGATTCAATGAATCCGTTCTTCCACAAGAACCATAGCCTCCAGCTGGCTGTGGGCGATCAGGAAAAGGTGGCCAGCAGACCGGAGAGCGTTCTGGTGGCCCAGTTTCTCATCCGGGTCAACGATCTACTGAACGAGAAGTACGAATACGGTGGAGATGCCTCCGTGTGTCCCAGGTGCACTTTGTGCTCCAATCGCAGCTACACGGAGCTGGAAATCGAGAATCAGATCGAGGGTATAAAGGCCTTCGAGAACTTCTTCACTTTTACAGAGTCAACGCGCTACCAAGACTTAGTTTCCCACAAGGCCTTCAAGGAGCTGTGCCGTAAACTGGGCTTGATCGTGAGCCGGGATCAGATCCACATTAACCGAGTTGCTGATAAAATGACCACTGTGGTTCCTCCACCAACGGCACAGCCTTCCGCTGTCACTGTTAGCAAAGACGTCATGGAACCCGATGCGAAAGGTGATGCCTATGCTGGCGATGATGAATCTCGTTCGAACGAAGGTGAGCTGACGCCAAGAGGAAATCCTGATCCGTCGATGTCAACAGAATATGTTAGGGGAAAGCTTTACAGGTGGGTTAAGAAGTAACAGCTTTGATGGAGTCACTACTACCTTTACACCATTTCAGGTACGAAGACTCCGAGGGATCTCAGCTGGTCAACGAGTTAAATGAAGCTCAGCAAAGTACTGATTCAATGATAGTGGATGACTTTAATTTCGAATCAGCATCTAGTTCACCGATCAAGTCCGTGGTGACCACCAGTATGCCTGCTAGCTTCCCCCGTTTATACAAATCGGCCAAGGCCAAATGCACAGGTAGAGGAGCTGGACCTAGTGGCGTCCAGAGCTCCCCACAGCCTCACAGAAGTTCGGGTTATGCCCGTTCGGTGGTGCGGCCAGCACAGGTTACACCCAACACCATGGAGAAATGCCGGAGCGCCGCAGTCGGTGGGCACTTCCAAGGTGGATCATCTGCTTCTCGAAAGATGGAATCATGCCCACCGGGTGCAGCTCGCAAGCAAAATCGCTTGACTATAGCGAAATCGGGCTGTGTTTACCAGCAACCGGGGAACATGACAGGAGTTGCCTCAGGCCGTGTGGGCAAACAGGGAAAACCAGGGAACACTATACAGAAACAGCAGGCAAATCACATGTGAGTAATATCATCTAAATTAATTTGATGTTTGTTATCTATTGGAATTTTTTTCAAGTGGCAAGTCGGGAAAGAGTTCCGCCCCCAGTAGGATGGGGATACCCAATTCGAAGCAAAACCAAGTTACATCGCAGCGAATGATCCCAAGAAGCACAAATGCTTCCATGATGCGTCAAACGGAAGTCAAAAGGGTAAGTTTTTCTTAAATTCAATTTCTTAATAATCCTACAAATTTTTGATCTAATTTTAGCGCATGAGCCTGATGCGCGGCGATAGCGATACTGATTTGCTCTACAACGAATATCTCTTCAAATGATTTGCAGGTGAATTCTGCAGATTTGTTGCTTCTCTTTCAAATATAATTGTTCTTCACGCAATAGACCAACATAAACTCTATGCTGATTCCTTTTCTATTTGGCTAAATAAATTTTAAAAAATTCCAAGGAGGTATCCTCTATTTGTTATTATTGATCACAAACGAAGCTTCAAAGTTGGTACTCCACTTACCGGTGACGAGTCCATGATCATCTTAACCACATCTGCTCCAAACTTCTCCTTGTACTGCTTGGCCAGTCGCTCAGAGATTTCGCTCAGCGAAGTTAGCTTGGGCTCCTTGTACACGTACTCGATGGCATGATCCTCTTCGAAGTATATCTAAAAAATACAAATAGTTAACTAACAGAATGATCCACTGTAAGATTCCCTACCATTCCATAAAAGACGACCCTGTAAAAGCGACCCAACATTCTCTTTCCTGAACGATTCACCTCTACGATTTTGTTGTAGGCCTGAGTCAGATGCTCATAGCAGTGGGCCAGATCCAGGAAGCTGCGATCCCTTTCGTACATCGGAAGGATCAGTTTGTAGAGCTCTCCCAGGCACTCGAATCTTTCAGCGCGGTCCAAGAAATCCGCACACTGCTTCAGCTGCTCCAGAAGCATTTGTTCCGTATACTGGGAATCCTGGGCACCGGCATCTAGCTTAAGACCCTGCTCATCTAAAGGTATATTCCTGGATATCTTCCCGAAAGCCGTGGAGGACCAACTGAGAGTGCAGCCTCCTCGTAATCGCAGATATTCGCACATCAAAGCAGCTATATGAAGATGACAGCAGGCAGCCTCTGATAGATTTCCGTTCTGCTCATGGTTCCTGGCCATCGTTACCAGCCAAGTGTGTCGCAGCTCTGGCGTGGAGGCATATGAGTTGGCCAGAGAGTACTGTAGTTCCAGCAGCCTTTCAGGGTCCATATGATGAGCCTGCATCTGGGCAGTGGCCATTAGGACAGTGCGCACCCGGCGCGTTAAGTCCTTGACCTCCATGGGGAAACCTGTGCCCTTCATGGCCTTGTCGCTATTCGCATAGCTATTGATGATGGACAAGCTCTCCTGGAATCTGGCATTGTTCAGTCCAATGACGTTGCCAATCATCTGCGATACTGAGATAATAACTTGCAAGTGCACCCGGGTTAGTGCTTTCCTGCCACTGAACTCAAAATTACTGCGCATGAGGAGGTATAAGACAGCACAGGATTCGTGGCGAATCTCCACCAGGCGACTATCGCAGGCTTTGAGGAGCTCATAGACCATCTGACCACACAACATGGCGTTGCCCTTGAACAAGGCCACTGCATAGTTGTTAATGAAAGCTCTGAGCGCTGCAAAGACGTGCTTGGAGAGCCTTTCCGATTGACCCAACTGCAGGAACCTCAGATAAACTCTAGCCAGCTTGGGCAGGATTAAGCTATCTGCCAGGAGTTGTCTGAACTGCAGGACATACATTCCTAAGCAGTCCAATATGATCATGCCGACTTCTGTGGCCAAATTGGATTCATAAAGAGCCAGTTGACTCCTAGCCAGAGTGTCCATATCCTCCAGCAGATGCTCCCTGGTTTGGTTCAGTGTTCCACTGTTTGGCTGGTGTTCCTGGTTGCCACTTTCTAACCCAGTGGGTGGTTGTGTCCTTGCTGGAAGAGTGTTGGCCTTGGCCGAACGTCCATGGCGAGTATCTGGTGTTATCACCACACTTTTCTTGCCCACATAGCGGAACTGCAGGAGGCAGAGATCCAGAATGGAGAGGAACTGCAGAGTCTCGGATTCATTACAGTTTTGCCACCAGCCCACCATTTGGTCCTGGGAGAGGTGCTTGATGATGAACAGGAAGCCCAATAGGAGATCCTTGCTCTCCACCGAACTGAACTTATCGCAACGGGAAAGGATCTGTGCATGGGTAACGCTCACCGAGCGATTGTGTCCATTTCGAAGGGCCACATCCGTGTCTCCATTGGTATAGGCTCCTATTGTGGTGGTGTCCTGAGAGTGCTAGAAATAAGAGTGCGCGTTAGCAGGGCTTTCTGGAATCGCAATCCCCAAACTTACCCCAGAGTCCGTATTAGAATTCAGTGAGAGATTAGAGATGCCATTGCTAATGGGTTGTCCAGCGATGGCGGCCAGATAGTTGTGCTCCTTCATGTGAACCGAAGTGCGGTATGGGCTAGGTTGATCACAGTGCAGGGTCAGCCGATTTTTCGAACGGGGTGTTGAGGTCAAGGAGCCAAAGGTGGAGGAGTCCTTGCTGAACACATAGCTACTGGAGCAACTCAAGCGCTTGGTATAGGAAGCAGAGTCCGCATAAACATGTCCATTTGGAGTACAAGCTCCAGACTCCGACAAATCATCGATCCGATGAATGTTGTCCATCACAACGCTTAACCATGGAACATACAGTAAGGCAATCCTTGAGAGCTGACCCCTCTGCTGATACCGATTATCCAACTCGTGTTTGGCCAGGAGATCCTTAAAGATTCCCAGAGCATGTCGCCTTACATGGCCCACTTCATTGAGACTACTCTTCAGTTCCTGGAGTAGCAAACCCGACAGAAAGTGCTGCCTGCAGAACTGCTCGGAGAGAGTGAAGTGCTGCATCATCTCGGGTGGCCTGTTCTTGGGATTCAAGACAAATGGCAGGTTGAGAGGCACATAGTGCTCATGCTGGCAGATCTCTTGCAGAAAGTTGAACTTGTATTCATGAAGTATCCGAGGATTGCCAGGAGAAAACTCTCCTATGTAAAGGCGGATTAGGCGGAAAACGAATCCCCTGTCCATGTAACTCAGGCACTGGCGCACGAACTTGGCCAAAGAACGATTCAGTATAAGCGTTTCTTCGGCTAAATCCTCAAACCGAGTGGTTATGTAGGGCATTAATGCCTTCATCAACTGCTCCACCCGATCAGCGTACTCCTTGGGAAAACGCTCGTTGCGCAGCATTCGAATCTTCCCGGTGGCCAGCAAATGCTGGGCCATGCTCTTCACAATCAGGTCGAAGAATATCGCGGAGTACCTCATGAATTTGTTGACGATTAGGAAATCGGGATTAGTGGGATTCAGAAGGAAGGGCAAGTGCCTGCATAGCTCTCCATGAACGGTCCTCTGTCTAGCCGTTTGCTGGCTGTAGTAAGGTGCGTGGAATACGAATTTCACATAGGCTCCCAAAAGATCGGGTCTCTTGGCCTGATCGCTTATCAAGTGGATAATGTTCGTTATCAGGCGGATAACATTCAAGCCGATTTCTTCGGATTGCGTGTGAACCAGCAGAGTGAAGAGCTCATTCAGGAGCGTCGGCAAATAGTTTATCAGCGACTTCATATCAATGGCATGGGCTGCCTTCAGGATCTTGCAGGTTTCCGTTTCCGCCGGCACAGCTCCAGTTTTTCCTCCCTCCAGCAATCTCTCGCAGTGCGCGAAGAAGTTATGCAAGTGCTGATCCGCCGTCAGAACCGTGGAGTCCAGACGTAATCCCACTGTATATAGATTCCTCTGATTATCGATCCACTGGATATCCGGACCGCAGTTCTGCTGAGAAATTGGAAGGGTTTGTAGGCAGCCAAGGGGGGTTTTGGGTGGTGGTGGTGGTGGTGGTGCGGTAAGCATGCAGATCAGTGCGGAGAAAAAACACAGAAAGAGAGCACAGGTTAGTTGGCAAGCCGGGGAATGAATGTGTATGGGACCATGAAGGTAGGTTGGGTAAGAGACGAAACAAACATTTCATGAGTTGATGGACTGCTTTGCGAAGCACACAACGCCTATAACTTACCCCCTTGCCCCAACCCAGGGGTTGAATGGAGAGGTAGCCCACTGGCAAAGTGGCAGCCACCGGTAGCTGTTGTTCCTCCAAGCAAATCCGATTCTTCTGGAGCAATGGCAGCCAGGCATAACCAATAGGGGTCTCAAAAGCCGCATGCGCATCCTCTCTTCTTGCTCAGATTACAGGACACATGGTAGAAGGAGAAGAGCAGATGGTGTTCCGGGAACAGTCCCAATGGAAGACGCAGTTTTATCTCCTCGTACCAGGTGGGCGTCACATTGTGATGCAGCACCGGGCAGGCTATCTGAGACACTAGAAGATCCTGGCCAGGGCGACCATAGATGCACTGCATCCAAGGAAATTCATTAGGACTTTTGAGTTCTCAAATTACAGTAAGTTCTCACCTTTAAAGGCTTGCTGTACTCCCCATCGCCATCACGTAGCTCCACCACTACCGTGATGTTCCTGGCCCGTGAGAACAGTTTCTGACTGTCGAACTGCAAACTGAGGGGATACACGTAGAGGTGGTTGCAGAAACTCGTATACGGATGAGCATCCCTTTCACTCTGGCTCTGGAACTCGGCCACCTCAACAGTCGGCGATTGCTTGGAAGATGGACTGAAAGTGGACAACGGAGCCAGCGATTTGCTCAGGCCGCAGGGTGTGGTTTGGTCCAGGAACTGCATCTGCATCTTTAGGCTACCAGGAATGATAGTTAGTTTGCTCAGCTTTTCAGGTTTGCGATAGTCAACCAAGAGCTTTAGCAGTTCCTCGTCCTTCAGTTTGGGTAATTCTTGACGATAAATGGGACTAAATTCGAACTCCTTCTTTGGATCAACATCCAGTTCGTGGCTGTACTGCTTGAACAGCGGCCTTGCTGCCCAGGCGAAGGGCTGCCTGTAGTGCCCGATGTGCTGGGCACAGCTCTTGGCCGCTTTGTAGACCTTCTGACCCAGCTTGGGATCCTTGCCAGCTTTCAGATACGGTTCCACAGCTTGGGCTATGCCAGATTGCAGCAGTTTTTCCACTCGCACGACCTGTTTTAGATATAGTTGGTATCAATATGGCAATGAGATAAGCAAAAGTAATTACTAACCAAATATATATCGGCATGTGGGGCTGTCACAGACAGCAGACACTGTCTCAGCTGCTGGAATTGCTGGCGATTTGATCGCAGCAACTCGGCGGAGACTCCATCGAACAGGGAGTGAGGTGCCTGGGAGGCGGAGCTTCTATCATCGCCCTCCGCCGACCTTCTGGGCACTCCACAACCTGCCACAGACGAAGGAACTGGTGTGTTCGGTAATAGCTGGGCTGCCCAATGCTCATTCACGTTGAAGTAGAAGTTCTCGCTCAGCTTCCGATTCGCCTTGGCATCGTACAAAGCCAGACTGGTGATATAGGGCTCCACTTGCTGTTCAACTCCTCCGGCAGAGACCTCATCCTGCGGGATGCATTGCAGCCGAAAGCGTAGGTTGTGGCAGGTAAGCAGTAACCGCGTGCCAAAGTGCTCTCGATACTGCTCCACGTTATCAGTACCACTGCTCTTGGCTGGCGACTGATAACAGGCAAACAATCTGCGGCGCTGCTCCCTTCTGGCCAATGCTATCGAGTGATCCGTTTCCCTGCCATACTTCATCAATTGGGGGTGCAGTGATTGATCCAAACCTTTTAGGGTACCAAAGGTGGGGGGTTCCATCGCAGGTGGCTGGAGTTGGGGACTTGGATTCGAACCGATAGATGGTTGGCGCTCCAGCGAAGCATTTCGCTTCTCCTCTTGTGCCCGATTTTGGGCCAAAACTGAGGAGATTTTGCTTAGCCAGTCCTTAAAGTCCTGTTCGTTCTCGGCGGCCAAGGTAAAGGACTTATGGCCCGTCGTCATGCGTAGTTCGAAGCAAAAGCGACCACGTTTGGGATTCTAAAATGGAATTATCGAGGTTATCTGTGGTTTTTTATGGTTATTCGGTAGGTAATCACTCACCTGTACCACATCTGTACAGAAGTCCATGACTATAGTGGCCTTGGCTTCGCCCTGCTTCTCGTCTTTGTGCAGTTCCAGTATGTAGGTGCCATCAATCTCCTGTCGCAGATAGCAGTAGCGGCGCTTAAAGGACTTGTTGCCAATATTGGCAAACATTCGATCTGAGGCCGAGTCGGGTCCTTTGAGGAGATAGCCCTGTTTGGTAATGGTATCCGCCTGAGAGCGAGTCATCTGTTCGTCAATCCTATCCTGATCGGCATCGATTTCGTAGACCTCCTCCAGCAGTTCCTCAGCAGGTGAGATACTAAGTAGAAAAGGTTTCATTAGATTCATATTAGTTAAGGATGAATATATTCCATACCTGGGAAGATCATGGCAGTTTCCGCCGTAGGCATTGTACTTGTAGTGAATCAAGTGATTCTTCGCCCTGTAGGTGTACAGAGCCTGCCTTGTGAATCGGGTGCATTCTGCTCTCGAACCGTTTGGCTGTCCATCGACTATGTCCTCGCCATGGCCATCATCTGCATACTCATCGATCTCCTCCGGCTGCGCTAAGTTGGAACGAAGGGTGATCGAGGACAGGGCTGACTCATATGAGGTATCCTTGTGACTGGAGGAGCCATTCGAGCACTGAGAACTCTTCCTCGACAGTTGGTCATGGCCATTGGAATTGGTCAGGCTGCTGCTACTGCTGCTGCTAGTGTGTCCATTGCCATTACCATTCTGGTGGCTCCCATTTGACTGTATACTCCCCTGCCGACTCACTTGACTGTGTCCATTTCCATTGGCAATAATGGAGGGTCCATGGAGGGGACACACGATCGCCTCATTGGGAGGATCGAATCGGTCGGCCACGGATTTGGCATTGCTTCGCTGCTTACGCGGCATGATGATCTCCTGAAAAGGCAAGGGGAAAAGAATATTCGTGAGAAAGCTAATCAATTTTATAAAATTCTAAATCTAAGTCTTGATCTTAATCTAAAATATATTTGATCTTAGACAAATTGACATTATAATTTGTGAATTTGTTCTTCCAATTTCTTCTTTCTTTCTTTCTTAAAATATTTCCCCACTCACCGAGACATCATCGGCGGGATAGATGAGCAGCTCCCTCTGCGGGTCATTTTGGATAACAGTTTTATTTTTGGCTATAAAGGCTTCGAAGTCGATTGGCTCCACGACGAGTGGCTTGTTCTGAAATAAAGAGATCGAGATAAGTATAGGATTCTATATGCTTTCCAAATGTTTGCTTGCTAATTTATGCAGGCCACTTGTACAAGCACAGCGATTCTATTAATAGCATTCCCAAAACAAAAAATAATAATGCCCAAAACGCTATCCATTCCCGAATGCCTGAATGCAGGCGGCTTTTGAGAGATTTATCGATACAGCGCACGCCATAAATTCATGGCTGGTTCGTGATGTGTTAGATGGGTTCTTAATTTTCACTCCCCCCCCCACACAAACAGCGCAGACCCTGACCGCATTACAAAACGGATGCCCCCCCTCGTGTAATGATATTTTCCATGTCTGCCCACTTGGCATAAACAAATTCATGTCGTTTAAACATTCTTACATTTTGGCATTTTGCATTTCTTAGCCCCCCAGTTGATGATATTTTCGACTTTTGCGTCTTAACTTTGGCAAGATGATGATGAAGATACTGTTTAGTATCTGTGCTACGAGGTGTGTGACCCAACCTGTGTGACCCCACCCTTTATGACATGTTCATAGAGGGTTAAAGTGCCACTTCCGTTTCGGCATATCCATTCCAGGCGACTGTCGGATGTGCTGTCATTTTATTGTCTTCTTGAAAATCAAGGTGTGTGGGCTAGAGTTCTGCTTTGCTCTTGGGCTTGGCTGAGTTCGGTTCAGTTCAGGAGAAGATACAGGTCAATTCAGGTCATGGGAAAAGGGCATTAAAAACACCGCTTAAGTGTGGGTTACTGCGCAAATATGGCGACATTGGAGAAAGGATTGTCATAGGTTGCGAATGCTATTAGGCAATAATTATGGGGAGTAAGGTTTTGTCTTAGGGTTGGGTTAGAATGGAAATCAACAACATATGAAAGTTAAAGAAACCTTAAAAGGGTATCAACTTAAGGTTTACTAAGCCTAAAAGTTTAAGCATTCAGTAGAAAGTTCCTTCTTTCCTGGGATATAATTTAGCTCTTAACCTTAAAAAACCGAAATGAAAAATTCATTTCCGATCGTTTTTTAGCACACAAATCTGCACAAATGTTTCAAAATACTTTCAGGGTCAACATTTTAGAGCTTAAACTTTCTAGTTTTAACACATTTCCCTACCAAAGCTAGCCACCAAGCTCTACTCTAAAAATCCATAAAACACAGACAGGTAATCAATCTATCTATATCAGCTTGTCAGCTTGTGCCCGTTGCAAACCTTGGCTTTGGCCCTGATTCCAATCATGTGCCCAGCCACGCCCACATAAATACCTTGCCTGTGCGTCCACACCCCCTTTTCACCAGCAAGTGCTGCAATGTCAATGCACTCGCCCACTTAGCCATTAACCACTTTTGGGCCTGGGCTCGGGGGAAAGCATTTTCCATTGTGAGCTCAGGTTCGGGCCTTTTCCTTGCAGCTCCTCCAAGCCGCCTCTTGGCACGCACAGTATGCAAATTGGCAGACGTCGCCGCTTGCGTAATTAAAACCGCAAACCGGCGACAGCCTCAACTTCAAAAAAAAATCATAGCCACGGGTAAAAACTACACCTACTAGCCGTAGGCGACAAGTGCATAGGGGCATTACGCAAAGCAAAAGGTAAACTCTTCGGCGATCGGCCAATTACCAAATCAAGTGCCCAGCCCAACAGCCCGAGAAAGTTGGGCAAACATTTTCGGTGGCTAATTTGTGGGTTTTTTTGGTTAGGGGTGCGCTGGCAAATAATGATTTAAAAGCCAAATTAAAATCAAAAAATAATGCATTGCCTTGGTGGTCAATCACTAGACACGCAAATTCGCGGTGCAAGATTTCATCAGGCACAACAACTGGTCCAGCAAGGCGTGAAGACCTCAGAGATCCACCATCAACCATCCACCACCAGCGATCAGTGACCATGATCTGAAGCCATCAACCACTTTATGTTGAACAGGAATGGCATATTAGCGGATTTAGTTAGGGTATAAGCAAGGCATCTGTTTATTAAAAATACATTTTATTTTATAACTTTTAATTTCCTTCTGAAAACAGATCCATAGATGTTAAAAGAAAACTTCCCTAAAAATAAGTTCAGCCTTTTAGCTACTTCTAGCTACTTTTTAGTTACAAATCCAACATCTCTGACTACTATCTTTGCCAGCAGCCAGCTTCAATTTAAAGTTAGCGGTTCGAGGCGCCACGGCAGGCAAAACGTGACGATTTATGCATATTTCAGTGAAACATTGACCAGGCCTCAAGAGGCATAGAGCCTCCCATCTCTCCACCAACCCTGCCCCTGGCCCCTTCTTCTTAACAAGGCTTGACTTTCATTGATTTTGCCAGAGCAATTGGCCCTGGCATGTCTTGGCTGGCACTTGAGTCGGTGTCCCTTCATTTCAGCTCGCTTATCAATTGAAATTGCAACAATGCGCCGGCAGATGCCTTCATTTATATCCGCTATATATAGTCATAGTCTTAGACAGGCATATAGAAATGCTGGATAGGGTCACGAAATGTCGGCTCGGCTCATTCAGATTTCGCTTTGAAGTGGAAACCGTTCAAGTGGCTCCTATATACCCTAGACTTTTCCCTTGCCGATTTGCATTTTGTGGGCAACGGAATGATTGTGACTAAATTTAGCTTAACTTACTGCATATGATTTGTTGTGTCTGGGGGTCTGGCTGAACTTTTGACCCGCACGAATATTGTTTTTAAAAGCTGCCTAAGTTTTATGGAATTTTTTTGAATTTTCAAAAAGCTTTTGGAGAGATAAAGATAAGTGCCAGGAAGTTTAGATAGGAGGGAAATTTAGCTTTCAATCTGTAGAATAGTTTTATAGGCTTTGCCAAAATTCGTTCCTCATTCAACTTTGGCTACATTTTCTCTAAGCATTTCGAGGTTTATGCCTTTCTAATACCATTACTACATAAACAAATATCTAGAGCAAAGAGTATACAAATTTTATGATTTGTTTATTTGCAGTTTTGTATGGTCAATGGACAGACGGCAGCTGGCATCCGTTCGGTGATAGGAATGTGGCATATAAATTCCATAAATTTATGCCCATGCAGGGATTTCCTGCTACGAGCAGCGAACATGAGTCGCAAAATGCTTGAAAAGAATTGTGCTGATAAAATGCATATATTTATTTATAATTATTTTGTATAAATTACAAGGCAAAGTAGTTGCCTTTATCACTGCCTCAGCTCAAGGAGACGTTTGTCCAGTCATCGGATTTGCAACTTTGAAACTGGTTTCGGCCCAGAAAGTTATTTGTTTTGGCCATCTTCGGTGGGTTTCACTGTTGTCGCTTGGTTCAACGAACCCTACAACATGTTCAAGTCAAATTGAAAAACCCAAGCCCAGTGCAAATCTGTAACTGGCCCACCCATTAAGGTGGCGACAAGTCAGCAGTTTTCCTCAACCATTCCACACATTCCACGCACTAAAAACATGTTGCTAAATAAAAATAAAAATAAATAATGAAAACCCAAGTAAGCTGAAGTCAACAAATTTCTCGCTTTTCGTTATACAACAAAATAATTTATGGCCGACCGGGCAAAAGTTGAACTTTCTAAGCAAGATATTCTATTCAAAATGGTCAAATGGCCAACGAATTTCACCCAGTTCCAAGTCCGATGATTCGTAGGCAAATTTACATGTCCGGACAAATGAGGAAGCTTACCATTAGCTTAGCGTTCAATTCAAAGTAAATACTTTGGCAGCGGCATTCATTAGACGGCTTTTTGTTGTCCGGACAATGAGGGAAATATCGCAGAGAAATGTCGCCTGCATAAGCGGCATTTAAATCATAATCACAAGAGCTATAGCATAACTATAAGATATTTATGCACTAATCGCCCGCCGATCAGCGTTATGTAAGCCATGATGTCGCTGTAGTCGCCGTTTTAGACCCGTTTCAATGAGCTTGGCTTCGGGATGGGTAAAAGTTCCGCCAACACTTTCACTGCACAACTTTTAACTTGATAAGGAAATGGAAGATACTCGTATATTTTAGATATTATGGTAGGAGTATCTTAGCATTGCTGTATTTTATTGGATTTTTGATAAATATTTTATAAAGTTTATGCATGTTAATACCCCTAAAGTGATCTGTGTTATTCTGAATTAGCCAAGTTCAAAGTCTGGTTATTTTCTATAACTTCTCTTTAGTCTTAAGGTATATCTTCCCCTCCCTCTATAACCCAAAGAAAATCTATACTATATACACTTCTCTGTCAAGTGAAGCAGGTTGAAACCCCTTAATGGTCTCAACCTGTCAAGGTCAAAAGCTAACTGGTTGGGAAATTGCAGCCAACTCGTGTTGGCCAACTCAACCAGAAGTACGAGAATAACCAGAAACAACCTTGAGGACAATATGTGGGGAAAAGAAATGAAGATGAAGACTAAGCCAGCAAAAAAATAATTGCCCTAAAAGCAGGAAAAGCAAGTGCAGCAAAAACAGAAAACAAAACCAGTGGAAAACCCAAGAAAAGAGACAAAGGCAAAGACATAAAAAGTTCCCGCGCAGAAAAAAGTACAAAAAAAATAGTATATATAGGCAGGCGAAGAGGCGGCAGATAAATATAATCATATAGGAAAACTCATCCAGTTACCAGTTCTTGGTCATGACTCGTTGTTAAGCGAATAATTAGCCATCGAACGATGATTAAAGAAAGTAAAGGAAAAACTGAGAAAAGCGCACACACATTTTTGGAGTAAAAGAGCAAACAATCGAACGACAGACATTGGCTGAAAGAATATTGTGGCAGAGGCTTTAATTGCCGACAAGAGTCGGCCACGATAGCCTCTCATTTTCAAGATGCCTTGGAAAGTTGACAGTTTCAGTGCAGTTTTCAGTTTGGAAAATTGGGTGCCAGAGAGGCGACGGCGAGATGGATGGATTCTGCCATATGTGGACGGGGCAACTTTCTAAAAAGTACTTAGCACTTTCAATTACAATTGTACAATGTGTCTGCCAACGCCAAGAGGCCGGTTAAAAAGACGGCAGCCAGAATCTGGCAAGCTAATTACATTTATGGTCGCCTCAGTCGGTGCATTGGGAGAGTGTGAAATATGTGTTAATTACACGACGGCGAATGGCCATCGTAAAATTCAAGTGTCTCCTCATTAATTGCTCAATTGTCGAGAGATCCAAAGCCTAATCTCCGGGGTCGACAGACTCGCTTTTGGCCAAAAGTTAAAAAGCCACACGACACACCCATTTCATAATCTTCGGTTTGCCATTTAAAGCCAAAAACGAGGACCTAAGCTGGATAACCAGTTTTCTTAAGAGAACCCAAATGATGGGAGTTAATCGTGGAATTAAAGAAGTATCAGTCTTCTGTGTGGGTTACTTAAAGGTTGGCTTAAATGGTAATCCTAATAATTATGGTTGCAATTATTAGTCATCACGAAATGGTTACGAACTAGTCTTAAAACTCTAACAAAAACTATAAATTAAAAGATCTCTAATTAAAAGTTGATTTAATTTTAACTGAAATTGAGATAATTTTTGATTATTTTTCATATAATAAGTTTATAATCTCTAATTGGCTCTGTAACCTTTGAATAGTCTTATTAATGTTCAATAAAATATTCTTAAAATGACATTTTTGTTTAGTATTCCTCTTCAAATATCCCACCACATGCTTTTAATACACTTTTAATTAGCAAATTAAGATGCAAAGTATGCCCAATTAATTAAGTTTAAGACCTGCCAACAAAGATCTCAATCTAGCCACACGAATTATCGAATTTAAATCAAATTAAACTTTATGTCTTCATTTATAAGTTTGATCACTAAAAGAAAGCTCGTAAAATGTGTGACTTTTGAAATTAAGACAGTCGTAAAACATATTCCCCTGCTGTCTAACACACTCATCACTCCTTCAGTAACTCTCCTTCTCAAAGAGAAAATCTGCCATATAGTGTCAAAATAGTTTCAGCTACATCTACTTCTCATTTTGGGGTAACTGAAACCCCGAGAAACATCAGTTCGTGCCGTCTTTTTGAGGGCATTAGACACGATGCCCAATAGCAACTTTCATTCTGCGAAAAAAACAAAAGCCTCCGCTTACAAAAGTTGCACAGAACAAAGAACAAATCACACATGCAGATGGGAATAAAGGTTACTGACATGTCAAATGAATGTTTGTGTCTATGCCAGTAGCCTTTTTACCCATTTACAAAATGCGAATGAGCCAGCCAGCGCAGCCAGCCACAGTGGAACTCACAGAACTACGACTGGATATTTGCACAGAACTTCAAGCACAAAGCTAGCACATTGTGATTGCCAAACGGAAGCGAGTTTAGTTGGTCGGTCGTTTTGTGTTTTTGTTTTGACTTATTTTGCAGTTAGTAACTGTGTCAGCCGTAGCAAGTGCTAACAGCTTGCTCACACACCCGCCAATATCCCTTGTCCCTGTTTAGCGCTTCTGGCCAAAAGTGAACGACATTTGCACAAAATATTTGCTATTGGGTATGGGTATGGCTGGGAGAATGGAATCTATAGAATGGAGATGAACATAGAGGAAGGTATTTATGAAAAAGATGGTAAGAAATATTGGCAATAATAAAAAGGGTAATATCACATGTTCTCATCTTCACTAGAAGTCAGTTTTTATGTTCTTTAATTTTTGAAACACAGCTTTTATCATCATAAAACATTATGAAGTTTAATTATTTATATTTAAGTAAGTAAGTAAGTATTTAGTAATCAGTAGCCTATCTTCTAGAATTTTTAGATTCAATGTGAACTGATCTCAGACTCATACAAAATTGATGATACTTTTGAATTCCTAAAAACCTCTATCAATATTGGAACCCCAATTTGAATCCATATTTGTCTCTGTGCACATTTCTTTCTATGCAAATGAAGTTTCCCTATAGCGATGGAATTTCCAATAAGTAATATACAGCTGGAAGAGTAAGGGTGGGTCCGATGTGCAAATGATTTAGCAGTAAACAAGTAAAACTTGACAGCAAAGTTGAATTGAAATGCGAAAAGTTGACTTCGTTGGGAGTGGGTGGACCAAGCAGAGCGCCCCGGCAATTGTTTTCATTATGCAATAGAGCAAAGTGCAACAGCACCAACTCCACACAGAAACAGAAACAGAAACAGAAAACAATTGTCAACAATAATTGTCGGAAACAAACAAACAAGTTGTCTAGAGTGGAACATTTATCATGAATAGAGGTTTAAACTTCAATGTACGAGTATGTACACCCACACTGAATTAAAAAAGTGGGCACATAGAAATGTAAGTGTGGAGGCGTCTTTTAATGTTTTTTACTTAAATGTGGGTTCAATAAATGTTGTTTTTTATGAAGAAAATGCATTACTCTCAAGCAAAACAAACTCTACTAAGATGCTTATCTAAAACCTAAGAGATTATCCACATTATCACTTCAGTATGTTTACAAAGTGATAGCCAGTAGTTAAACAGAAGTCTGGAATGCTCAACATCTCTTGAGCATCTTGTGTTTTCCAATCAAATATTTAACGCATCTCCAAGAAATCCAGATTGCAGACCAACAAAAATCAATTTATTAACAGCAAAGTTGTTATTAAAGGTAAGTACCAGCTGAAAACCTCTTAAACTTTCGATGTAGAAAGAGAAACCGCCTGAGCAGAGACAAAAGACCCTTCAAACACCAAGTGACAACATTCGAAGTTCCCTTTTCTTATTACCTTTTCTTCATTTCGATAAGCTTACCAACGAAAATCTCCACCATACCTTACACCTTTCACTTCCATCGAGAAGAGTTTCTCCTACAAATTTACAGCCCATCCATGATCAGCATTTTACTTACAATCTTTCTTGGTTTCTGCATTCTTTCACATTTTTTGCACTTCATTCATTTACTTCTTTTCTTGCAACTTTGTTTGTTTTCGCAGTTTAATACTCTTTGTTGGCCATTAATTTATCAGTGCATAAAAATCATAAACATTAAAGGCCAATAGTTTGTAAGAAATGAAGGCCAGAAGTGAGAGGAGTTCTTGGTTAATGTAAATATAAATATAAATATTTTTATTTAGCTGTGAAATTCTTGATACCTGACATGAGAACAATGAAATAGACGAAAATAAATTTCAATAATGATTTAGCAACACCACAAAATTATTTATTTATTTCGAGGCTTGTTGAGAGAGAAATTTAAACAATTTAATTTAAGCAAAACAAATTGAAGGTTGATTCTGCGTTAAATTGCCAACTCATTGTGAGGGAGTGTGTTAGAGATGGCAAACCAACGATTGTTCACCTTATCAACGATACATTTCTTTGATAAACCAAAGCCTTCTACCCATTTCCTCATCCCAGTTCCTTAGTCAGCTTAATGGTAGTATTGATTTGATTTAATCACTTATATTTAACATCCTAAAAGTACAAACTTAATGGGGATTGTCCATGAGTCAAGCTGTAGAACGCATTCAACTGCTTGGTTGATTGCACCTGCCGATGGGATGGAAAAACTTGACTAGAAAATGCGACTCATTCTCACTGGAGACCAGTTTTGATGTCGATACATTATTTTTGATGTACGGTTTCGTGTTCGGCATTCGGTTTCGCAGGTACCAGCTACAGGTACAGCTTCACGTTCAGGTTCAGTTTCGGTTCTGGTCTAGGCACGATTTCAATGTCAATATTTACACGACTGTCGCACCGATAAACATAAAAAGTTAGCATCATCGTAGTCGTTTATTGCTGTTTTTAATTGCTCGGCGGCAGCTTCTTCCTAGTTTGGCAAGTAGAGAAAATATGCATAAAAGAAAGTTTATCTCTCGAGCGAAATCTAATTAAGATACTCATGACATATTAAAATAAATCACGCAGCCAAACCGCAAAAAGGAGCGCCATCAAAACTAACGAGAGAGCGAAAAGTCGAGCAGATGCAAAGGAGTTTGAACGGGTGTGGGGGTCCAGGGGGAAAAGCTGGGCAAGAGAGTCAAGGTCAGATCGAGGAATCGATAAAAGTTTGTCGCCACCAGGCTCGGAAAAAGGAAAAGCCAAGGAGGAAAACCGTAGGAGGACACATTGAGGTCACAGATTATTGTTATTGTTGCTGTCGGTACGAAGCCACGCATATTAATGAAGTGGCATTGCTCTAGTTATTAAGTAATGCAGGGTAAGAGAAGATATATACAATGTTTAAGTATATTTTTTAAAATAATATAAACACAAAATGCCAGAAATTAATATTGTTGAACTTCGGATTATTTATAATCAAAAACTAAATTTATTTAATTTTTGTTAATATTTTTACACATTATATAAGGGCTACAAATCTACTATATATGTTTACCTTGTTGTGACTTTCTTTTCTTATTAACATAAAATTGATCATATTTTGTCTTTTGTTATTACTAAAAGCTACCTCAAAGAGTTTAGGTCTCTTTAAACATAATAATAAATTTCTTATCTACAAACAAGAAATACTAAAAATTTAGATTTAAGCAGTTTAATTTTTATGTTTTAAATGTGTCCCAAGGGCTCTTTGATATACTCGTATAAAAGCTTATGAAATCTCAAGACGCCAATGAAATATTTTACAAGATGTACCCCCTATATGATATACATTTTCCTATATATTTTGATATACATATATTTTATCGTGAAACATATTTTTACCGCAATGGAGAGGCTGCGCTGATAGCGGCCAGTGCAGTTGATCTAAAATGATAGAGAAGAAGAGGGGGAAATGTTGGGGTCAGTATCAGAAGCTTTCTTATTAATAGCCAAAGGTTGATCGGATGAGGGATATGGTTAGATGGCCATGATGTGTTTAACAAACAGAATCGGAGCAGAGTGGCGCTCATTAAATCGCAGTGGACGACACACGTCAACTCGAGGGAAAAGCTCAAAAAAACAGAACAAAAAACAAAAGTTGCGAAACGATATTTCCGGCGGGGAATCGGGGAATGGGGAAAACGAAACGATGACCGAGACACAGAGAATAGAATCACGGAATACAGAAAATAAACAATAAAGAGGAGATGCGCAAAAAGAGCAGGCCAGTAACAATAAAAGCAGAAAAAAAAACCTTAAATGGGGTAGAATTATGTATAAGTGGGCTACGAATAGCTAATGACCTGGAATGATATATAATAATATAGATATATATATATTATAGGTGTTTAAAAATTAGCTTAAAATATAAAACAGTTCAAAACACTTTTTTACAATCAACAAGTTTTTCTTAATTTAAATAAGTTTGAAATATATATTTTGGCATACACAAATATTCAAATATTTAAATTAAGCATATCGCAAAAAATATTTAAATAATAAATTGAAATAAATTGTTTTTGATCAGTGTTTTTATGGTGTCCCTTTTGCTAAATCTACTCTCTAAAATTCCATTCAGATATTTAAAACTAAACGCTTTTGTCTACCTAATATACCCCACCTGTCAACAAGTTAGTAGGGTAATATTAATAGGAAAGCACGAGCACTTGAGCCATGACCATTTTACCTACTCCACTTCAAACTAAAAATTTTCCTCTTACCACTTTTTTGGACACTCGCACGTGAAGCTTTCCAAAGCACTAAAAATAACATTAAATAGAGGAAATTCCCAGACCCAGTAGGATTCAGGGTTGACACAGTCAATAAAGTTAGATTTATTAGTAACGAAACAAATTTACTGCGTAGTGCAGTGCTTAAGAATGAATTCAATTACAGTAAAACTGATTTACTAACTAAATGAAACTAAAGCTTTAAGTAGGACAAATTTCCACTAGAGTTCGGCTTATTTCGATTCATTAGCTTCGACTTATGAAGAACATCTCCAGTATATAGAGTATACCTTTTTTTATAGAGGTGCTCAGCATAATTGTGAGATGAGGTCATGACATAAAAGGTAGAGCCTGCCTTGAAATTCTTCCCGAAATGGAATACAATAAGCTAATTCGTTCTCATAAATCATCCGGGGTATATTTTTTAGGAATCATGTGGTGTGAAAATTATGCTGGACAAACATTTTTTGCAGTTGCAATAAAAAACCGGATATGACATTAGTAAATCAAGGCAGTTGTGTTTTTCAACACTTTCTAATTAATTAAGTTCGGTTAGTTATTTACTAAAAGGCCCTTGAGTTGGAAATATGCAGTAGCTTGCAGTAAAGACCACCAACAGTGGAAACTCTAGAGAACTAATTACATTATGTAAATTCCATGCCATATACTAAATACATTTCAAAGTCGCAATTTGCTGATGCTAAGAAATTCCAGACCTTTTCAATTATTTTTCCGCCTTTTTGAGTTTCCCTTCCTCTCTGAGCCCCCTTTATTTTTGTTTAAGGCAAACCACCACACATTTGATATTTACTCTGATATCGGATAACAAAATGCGGTACATGTGCCCGGCAATAAGTTAACAACTATTTAAGCTAACAAGGCGAAAACACATAAACAAAATTCCATAAGTAAACCGAAAGCGAGCCATAAAAATTAACCAAAAACTAACAATGTAAATTATGGTTAAGTAATGAACTGCTGTTTTTTGTTTTGGGAATGGAACTCCATTGGCCTGACCCGCTGAACTACATTAGACTTGAGCTGACAACGAAATATTTAATAATTGCTTGCTGATGGAGGGGGAGAAATTTTCCAAAAAAAGACTGTCATTTGGGATGTGCAAAGCCCCGTGACAGGTTGAAGGAGGAGCAACCCACTCATTGCAACCCACTCAACCACTCTTCGTTTTTATTGGCGTTGAAACTATCTATCCATCGGCAGTCGCTTATTATGGTTTGATTGCCTGTCGGCCGGTTGATTGCCGCTGTAAGCCAACAAATGCTTATCATTTTGGCTTCGACTCTCACTTTACGCACTAATTGAATTAGGAGTTCGTACGTATATATCTAACTATATGAAAGAGGAACCAGAACCACACACACACACTCTAATTGACATTGGAAGCGTGGCTAATGACACTGTAATATGATTTTCTTTTGGGTCCGTAATAATGCAATTAGTGGGTACTATCAATAGAGGGAGATGGGCATGTTTGTACATCAGTATCTGTTTAGGCGGCAACACGTGGGCGAAGCCCCCAAAAAATGAAGTCACTCCCTAATCTTGAGCTTGTTTTAAGTGCTTACAGAAATACAGGCGTAACGTCTTTAAAACATAATTTTATTAGTCTAACTTTTCTATTCCGCACAGATAAGCTTATTATATCACTTTTAAACAGCCTCCTTAGGGAATCATCACTGTGCTCGTCTACAGAACCTCATTATCGTTCAACATGAATATAAACAAAAGTGGAAGCTGCGTCGGAATTTCAAATCTCACGGCCTTGAGGGATTCTTCTCTCTCTTGGGGTCTCTCTTCTACAATCTTCAGAAACACAAATTTTACCGATTCTCTTGAGTCTCTCTTCTACAACAACACCCAAGAATAGAATTACGTACGAGGAGATAAAGAACACGTTCTCCCTTTCCATAGAGCATTTTCAATGTTGACTTTTCTTATGCAACCACTGATGGATGGAAACACATACATAGTTCGCCTTATAAAACATTATGATCTCGATGATATGTGCTAAGTGAAAAGAAAATATTATTAAAATTCAAAGCATTTGGCACAGACCCAACCGAATAAGAAAACAGGCCCATCTGCACAGCAGAGGGAGACAGAATATGTATGTAAACTTAAACTTTTTCTCTCCTAAACAATAAGTTTAAAAATTGAAATAATTAAACGAAGTAAAGAAGGATGTAAATTCAAAAACTTTTATATTTTACAGCAAATAAATCAAATTTTGCGTAAACTTGTATAATTTTCTTGACCACAACTGTGTGTGTGACTGTGTTGCAATATAGAAATATGTGCGTTTAAGAGTGGGAAATTCTATTGAATAAAGCCAAAAACACACAAAGTCATTTGCATTCAGACAAATTCTATATAATTTCCCTTTTTTAATTTATATTTCCTACATATAAATAATACCAACAGAAAAACTATAAAAAATTAACAGGAAGGTAAACAAAACAAAAGGTGACATGCATTACTGGAGACACACCCACACTAATATACAAACACACATATATTTACGTAAAAGCAACAACTGCACTTCTGAAAGCCATAAATAGAATGGCAGGAGTGAGCGAGATGGCAGATGAGCAGGTGTAAATAAGGGAATTTTAAAACTTACCAAAACCGCACTCTCTCTGACCAGCTGAGAGACATTCTCTCGCATCTGACCCGCCGAGCCGAGCTTGTTCAAACCGCGCGTAAATTTCCGCTCCATCCTGCACCCTTCTTTCCTCACTTTCAGGAATCAAACAAACAAGTTGTTGTTGTTTGGGTTCTTACTCTCTCTGTTGCTTTTGTTGCTCTGCAAAAACCGGCGGAAATTCAAAAATAGAGAGAGAGACACACACACACATACACGCACAGCAGTCAGGATGCGCTGCTGACTGCGCAGTCAACGTCGCTGCCAGGGATGACTAATGCCTTATCCTTGTTTTTTTTTTTACACTTTTTCTTTTAGCTTTATTTTGATGTTTTTCTAAATTTGTCGTGTTTATCGATACAGCACTGTAATTTGTTGCAATAAGGATTCATTTGCGAAATTCTTTCATATCCATGTTATACACAAAACACCAATACACGCGCGATGAAATTCCCACGCCCCTTTTGGCAAAAATTGGTGGGCTTATTGCAACAACAAGAAACACAAACACCCACGGCAAATATTTTTAGCAGCCTTCTAGCATCCCGTTGGATTATAAACAATATATATTTTAATGAGCTAAACACAGCTTTTTACACATTTTTATTTGTGGCTATATTTTCTCGTAATTTATGCGTATTTTTGCGTAGAAGGTGTTTTTTACGGTTTGCAGCGGCGATTTTGAACGAACTGTTTCGGCATGAGGTTTGGCTTTTCAATTTGCCGCTAAACGGAGCGCTGAGCTCCTCACGCGAACGAGATCCACCGATTTGTGGGGGACGCAAATTGTTGGGGCGATAGTGAAAAATTTGAAAACACTTCAAATCACTAAAAAATACCAGAAGATGTGGTAAAAACACCACCATCAGAGATACACACTTCGGTTTGGTTCTTTGATAGAGATTAGCAGTGATTGTAACCAGTTTGGCTAAATTACAGAACTATGTTAAGCTTAACAGAAAACAATGTGGCCAGACTAGAATATTAAAAAGTCGTGTACTAAAACGGTTATTTTTGGTTTAAGTTTAAAAATAATTATGTTTTTAAGGACTGCATGTTTAGGTCGAAATATAATTGTCGTTTTAGACATTTCTTTATTTGGGAGAAGTTTATTTTTGATTGACGGGGTTGCCTAACTGGCATTAGAAAACTATTGCTTGATGATACAGAATAAATGGAAAAACTCTTAGGAGTTAATTTATTTATATAACAAGTCAGAAATCAAGCAAAAATAAAAGATATCGGCTCTTTCTCTTCTCGAAAGTTCCTGGATTGGCAACGTGAGGAATTTTGCCATCAAAATCCGAAGTTATTCAGAAAAATGATATTCAAAGTTTTATGATTCCGTTCAGGTTTTCCACCCCATTTCAATCCATTAAAAACACAATTGTAAATTGTTTATATATTCCATATATTTTGCATATATTTGTTTGTTTTTTATACTTTACACAATAAAAATGATAATGCATCTCAACAAAAACAATTATTCGCGGTACTTATTGGATAGATTTCAAAGACAAAATTCATGCTTGCGTGTAACTTTTGCTTTTGGAATTTGTTTTCCCAAATACTACTTGCTTGGTTTCATTTAGCGTTTCTCTCATTTGTCGGTTATTGGGTATTGGTAATCAGTAATCGATTAGAAAATAAAATAGTCGTAATTAATTTCGATAGATCCGTATATATGGATCGAGAATAATATGTCGCTCCTACACATATGTACATTGAATGCGGCATGCAAATTCATTTCGTGAGTCATCAATTCATTGATGTTGTGGTTGGTTGGTTAAACTTAAGACATAATTAATTAACATATAGTTTAGGTAAAAGTATTTAAAGCAACTTAAACTTAAGAATTAAGAGAGTTCTCTCTATCTTTCTGTTGATTTCTCGGTGTGATTTCTGTCGAGTTTAGAATTAAATTTAAAATCATATATCGATAATGATTTAGTTAGTTGTTATCTTCCATTAATGGGGATGAAAGTGTGAAGCGAGAGTCACAGTAGCAGTCACGGCAACAGTAACAGTTTACGAGTGCGACTAACGAACGAGTAACGGTTTTGTAAACCTCAAAACTTTGCTACATGTGTTTTTTTTTTTTTTTGTTTGCTTATCATTTTGTGTGTTTTGTGATTAGTATCATAATATATCGATATCGATCTCTGTGTGATGCTTTGTGATTGATCGCTTTCTACTTAGGTTAAAGTTTGGGATGGGTTCTGGAATTGGTTGGTTTTGGGGGGGGGCTTTACGTTTTATGATTTATGATTTAGGGTTAGGATTAGGCTTGTTAATCTTGCGTTAAATATGCTTAAAGACTTATATTATATATTTGGTGTACTTTTTTGAGTTTTGTGTTCTGTTTTCATTTGCTGTTTAATCGCTTTGTTTTTAGTTTAGTTTGTAACTGTTTGTATGTAGTTTATATAATAACTTGTCCATGCGCATGCCTGCTGCAACCTGTCCGATCTCTCTGGATCTACATCTACAGCTACGTTAACTAAATATAATACAGTTTTTGTTTTTGTTTGGGGTTTCTTTTTCTTTTTTTCGGGGGCTACGCCATCTGTCTGCTATTCAACTCTCCAAACGATTCCTCGGTTCCATTTCTCCAAAGTGTTATACACGGCACAGTGGTCACTCCTTATCCAGCCTTCCTGCCTCGTCCAGTTCGGTTATCAAAGGTTTGCGTTTTACGCTTAGATGGGCGAAATGGAGATGGGTGGTGAAGTTGTATTATCGGGCATGTACTCCTTGAGAAGATCCCGTAGTCGCAGGATCTCCCTTCCAGCAGCTGATAGATCGCCTTGCAGGGAGAGTTCCCGCTCCCGAAGTCGCTTGATGTCGCGCTGGCAAGTCTGTAAAAAGAAAGCAATCGGATTAGTATGAGTTCATATTGGAAACTAACTTGGAAATATCAAACTAGTAAAGGTATTAATCAGGGTTACCCAATTGAAAGACCTTCTTTAGCTCAAATACCTACCACATTCTGCCTGAGTAGATCCAGCTTGTCGCACTTCAACCGCGTTACCTCCTGGCGCAGGTTCTCGATCTTCACGATCGTCTCATTGCTGGGCGAACTACCCATCATAGTCGACTGGACGCCATCCAAGCACAAGGAGCACGCCTTGGTGGTGGCCTCAGCGGAACTCATGCTCTCCAACCCAGTATCACTGTCTATGTAGGTTGCTCCGCCATCCAAGTGCGCCATCATCGGATCCAGATCAACGCTATTCAAACTGGAATCATCGCTCGTCTCCGACATGGTGGCCACTGCAACCACTCCGATTTTGGGCGGCACTCACAGCTGCCGCTACCACGCCGACTCCGGAACCATTTTGGGGCAGAAGTCCGCCATTGGAGTTGCTGTTGTTGTTGTTCGCCTGGCGGGAGGTGATGTCCGGGGAGGAGGAGGTTGACTCGTTCGAGGACTTGGATTTGGATGAGGACTTTGAGGCCGTGCGACTGCAGGTCTGTTGGAAAATGAAAAGGTAAGAAATAAGTTAAGGTTCCAAGGACTTCATAGTTTAAACTTACATTCAGATTGGGTGTCTGCATTTCGGGATGCGCCTCCTTCTTGGAATTCAGTGTGCCCAGCTTGGTGTTCACGCTAAACTTGTCCGTGTGTCCGGGTCCATGACCATTTCCAGTGTCCACGCTCTGGGAACGCACCCTCATGATTAAAGCCTTCTTCACCGTATCGATAAAACGAGAGCCGGCATTGCCGCCGCCACCACTTTCCGCCTTTGGAGTCTCGGGTGTGGGACTTCCGGCCGTCACCTGGGCAAAATCGGTGCCCAGGAAGTCGCGGGTCTTCTCGCGCAGCTCCTCGCATAAATTCTGTAGCAGAGAGGTCCTGGTACGCTGTTCCAATTTCGCAAACTTTTCAGCCTTGTAGCACGCGTTCTCCGCATTGATCAGCTTGGTCAAGATGAACTCCTTAAACTCCTGACCCTTGCGAAAAACTGCGGGATTCGGCAGAGTGGGACCAAAGAAGGGCACATCATCCCTGGCGGTAACGCTGACCTTGTACCGGGTATGTGGGGTGTTCGGTTCAATGGGCTGGACCACGATGAAGGCGTGCAGAAAGTGACTGGCGATCATGTCGGGTGAGAAGGGAGTGTTGGTCTCCTGGAAAACGATGGCCACAATATCGTTGCCAATGTGACGTTTCCTCTGCAGTTGCTGGGGATCGCCCTCGGTGTGCGGCAACAAGGTGGACACATGGAACATGATCTCGCGCTCCTTGAATACCTCATAGACAGCTGTATCGCCCGTATGACCATTCTGGATATCCAAACCACCTCTGTACCCCTTGTGATCCTTCAACCTTATCCTCTGTCCTAACACATCCAAGAACTCGTCAAAGGCTGGCGATGTCTGTTGGTTACCGAACAGCTCCTCCTCCGTGGTCTGTCCATATCTTTGGTAGAGCACTCCGAACTTGAAGTGCGAAACGAGGACATGCTCGTCGTAAACGCTGATGAGTGTCGATGCCTTGGGGCACAGGATGGGCATGAAGTGCTCCACCGTTATATTTTCATTCAGAGTTTGGGCCATTTTTGCCGGACTTGGCTGTGGTAGCAGACATGAAACTGGCAGAAGCTCGTGCATTGTGCCAGTTCTCAATCTCATCAGGATTCTCATGTGCTCCTGGTTGGCCACATTCTCCGACTTGATAGAGATTAGAATCGGGCCCAACTGCTCATCCTGCCCTATCAAATTCGAATGCTCCCTGGCGGCATAGAATCTCCTGTAGCACTTGGCCGTATCGTCCGTTTCGAACTTAGCCATCCAGGTTGTCTGTGGCAGCACAGGATTACCCCTGGCATCATAGCCGCACTCATGCTCAGTGCCATCCATCCAATAGCCTCCGTGCAGGGGCAGCTGGATCATGGGATACGGTGCCGGTTTGGCCAACGTCTCCTCCAGCAATCTCTGCGAGGCGGGAATGGCCGAAACGATCGATGAATTGGAGCTCACCGATGACTGAGATTGATAGTGGTGTCCATTGGACAGCAGCTGGCAGCCAGAGGCACTGACCACTCCACTCAGTTGCGGGGAGGCGGGCGTGGAGCTGCAGGCGGAGCCCGAGACTGTGGAGCTGCTCGAGTGGTTCATCGAGTGGCGCAGTGTCGCCCGCGATCCCGAATGCTGCAGCCCACCGTTGTGCGGATGGGCGTGACTGTCTTGGGGTGAGTGCGGCTGTGGCACGCGCTCCTCACTTGCGTTACTGCCGCGGTGGTGGTTCTGTGAAGTAGAAAAGAAATTGAGATACAAGTTAGTTGAGTTTTCTTCAAAAGATTTTCAAGAAAAGAAAAAGCCATCCTTAGCCTTCCCTAAGCTTAATAATTATTTTTCCTCAAAGGTAACCTTTTCGTTTCCAAATCAAAGATAAATCCGAAAAATACAGAAATTTCAGCCCAAACCCAATCCCGAGCGGAAATAAATATAATTTTTCCCTGGCCATTCTCTGCGAGTACGAATACGAAGCTGTCTTGATTGTTCAGCGGGATAGTGTGTCAGAGATCCATGTGTGGCACACTCCATGCCCATGCCCCAAACTTGGGGGCCTGATTATGCTAGCGAGTGTGTGGGTGCCACAGTGAAGCCTCCCACACGCAGGCGAACTAGAGGCGGAATTAGAGGCTCTGCAGCACGGCTGCATTATAATTTCATGCAATTATCGTCAGTGAAACACCCGCCCGTGGCCCCCCAGCCACGCCAAGCCCCTGCTCCATATGCAAATGTCCCGGGCCTCAAAGCCTCCTCGGGCCATGTGGATGGATTGGATAATGGCAGAGTGGTGCAGTCGTGGCAACGTTCAACGGAGTGCTGCACAGCGACTGTCGATGGCTGTGCAATTTTGTTGGCACAAACTATTTGCAAAAGCGCCAAACAAATATGGCAGTGGGTGGAAGGGGCGTGGTCGTGGATTACGTGATGGATTTGCCAGAGAGGGAAACTTCCAATGGGTTTGAATTTTTGATAACATTAAGCCAACATTTTCATTTGACATGAAAGGGGTAAGGGGTAAGGGGTAAGGGGTAAGGGACGAGGCTCCTGCTCCCATTTCCCATTTCCTTTTCAATTCCTGGCGCCACTCGAAGCTTTTGTCTGGTCGACCCCCTCTTAACCCATGACCAAACTCGCCTTAACCCCATCATGCCTTGCCTCCTAAACAAGCAAGCATATTAAAAAGTTTTCTTTTATTTGCAAACAGTTTTTCTCCATTTCTGGGATTCTTTTGTTGCACTTTAGGGCCCTGCGCTGGCCTGCAGCCAAATGTGGCACGTACCCAAAGGGGTTAAAGGGGAATGGGAGAGGGGGGTTACGTAGGGGTTCATCGATAGTGTTCGTGCCTTGATTTAATAGTCTGCCTGCTGCCAATTGCAGCTGCAGCTGATGGCTGGAAATAATGAGCCAAAGGAAGTAGGAAAATGGAGGAAAAATGGTTAGTAGTAGTGCCACCATACTTGGCCAGGCCAAGGAAAGATGTAAAAATAAATACACTTTGGCAGGCACTTGGAGATGGAGTAGGAGAAGGAGGAGGTGGCTGCCTCTCACTTCTGCAATCGATTGAAGGTTAACCGATTCGATTATTCAAATTCGCGTTGTGCGCCATTCAAGCCGAGTTTCCAGTTTCCAGTTAGTTGACTGCACCGCTAATGAATTGCATTTTCAGTCATTTGGGTGCATATCCAATGGATTTTGACATCCATCCATCGCTCAGTCATTCATGAGTATATGTATCTATGTATCTATGTATCTATGTATCTATGTATCTATGTATCTGTATCTGTATCTGTTTCGTGTGAACCAAACTATGGTCTAAAACAAAATATGCAAATGCAGTTTCCTACTGTAACTCCCCCCGCCTCACTTTTGCAGACATACAAAACGAATGTGGCAATTGAGAAAAATTAATAAATTTTGTTTGTAACCCTAGACGGTATAAGGGGGGCGGTGGAAGAAGGGGGGTGGTGGAATGGAATTAAATGGAAACTGGAGCTATGGGATAGTTGCAGATATTGCTTATAGAGTCGGTCACGTCACACGCTTAGTTGGCTTCATTTGCCAAGGGCGGTTGCTCTTTTAATGTTTGCCTAAATGGGAAACCAGACGGGGGTTAACCTCACCCCCGAAAATAAATACACAGATAGTTGGATGGATAAGCTCTGTCTGTTGGGTCAACAAAAGAAGAATGACCGGCGTAGTGAGTCATCTAATAAGGAAAATCGTACTCCCTTACCATCTCTTTCCCTTAGTTAATTTGTCAAGATTTCCACTTTGTCAATTGGTTTTTGGTTTCTGTTTGGCTTGTTCTAGGCGATCTAATTAGGAAACCATTTGTGAGGAGAGGCTGCTGGCAGAGAAGTATTAGGCACAAGCGGACAACAACTACGGACAGAGAACCGGAAAATGCCAAAGTTAAATGTAATAAAGTGGAAAGCATGACGAATGTAGAACTTGCGCAGAACAAGAAACTCGCTTCTGACAAATGATCATTCCGCTTTCCGCCGAACAATAATGACAATCATAATGCTGATGATGAGGTTTATGTGCCGATTCCGAAGAACTTAAGCGGATTACATTCAGCGAGTACCAAGTGAGTCTACACGAGCCACAAGATGTGGAAAAGTGTTACGAGCTCAGAGCTGAAAAGAACATATAGAACATACAGAAAGCCAACCAGAAATGAAACTAAAGCATCAGCCATATGGCAACCTGAAGAGGGGCACATACAGTACACAGAGAACTAAACTTGAAACTAATGATATAATGGCCTGCCTTTAAAGTTAGGCATTACTGTAATACTTTGAGTTACTGCAAAAGTTAAACATTAAGTTGTAATTTTCTCAAATTTTATATCATGACATTTCTCTCTCTGTCATCGTTTCGAGGTTAATGGGGTAGTGGCAAGACAAGAGGGACTTGCAGCGAGTGCCAGGGCAGGGTCTGCTGCCCCTGGCAAAGTCATCTCTCCTGCTTGCATTGAACAACCGATTTGCATATGGCGAAGGGCAGCAGTTCCTCTTTTGGACACCTCCTCCATATGTGCAACAAAAAATCCTGCGACGCTGGCAAAGTCAACAACGCTTCCTTGTTGTTGTTGTTGTTGTTGTTGCTGTCGCTGTTCAAGTGCAGGCGGGCGTCATTAAAAATGTGCATTTTGCATTCAACGCCCTCGTCATTCTCACACCCTTAAAAAAACCGAAAAGAAAACAAAGTATAACAAAGGCACAGGAAACGGGTTAAAAAAAAGGGTTGGGGCTGGGGTTGGGGTTGGAGAGTCACCATCAGTCATCAGTGCTTGTCAAACTGTTAATATCATAAAATGATTCCCTTTTGCGCCTTTGTGAATATCTTATGCAGTTCACATTGCTCAGCTCAGAAAGTGTGACACATTCGAGCTACCCAAGTGATTGATATTTGTGTGTTGTCTACGCACGTCAGACAAATGTGAGTGTCTGTGTGTGGGAGGGAGGGGGTGAGGAGGTGGAGATACCTCTGATGGAGGACAAATCCCAATCCCCCAGAGCAGCCCACTCCCCACATGATTTATTCCTGACTCTGCGGTTGGGGTGATGCAAAAACACAAGCCCTGACTCGAGATTGAAGTGCTTAAATCAAAACCGCATAAATCACAAATGTCACAAGTCAAGAATGAGTGTCAAACTGTGAATGTGGGCGAAAAAAGGGAAAAAGGATTTCAGACTTGGGTATTAGGAAAAATATTAAGCAACCATCCAACAGCTAAGACATTATGCTGATCATTAAGAACAGTACTAAAAAGTCAATCTAAAAAAGCAGAAGCAGAGATCACAGAACTTTAATAAGGAAACCGCTAGCTCTTAAAACAAAAAAGCCTAATGGGTTCAGCTCCAGCTGCGACGCACTTTAGAAGCGATTGAAAAGTTGATCTTTCAACTTAAGATTCTCCACACGTCCCAGTGAATCGACCCAGGCACGATTGTTATGTTTGAAACGCTTTCACAAACTTAATTAACATACACTCAGAGAGACTTGCTTATCACACTCTGCGGTGAGCAGAACAAAACGAGTGTTAAAATGGGAATAAAAGACAGAAAACTTCACATGTCATAAAATGAAATAAAATATTTATAGAAGCTTTGGAAGCCATTGCACCTGGAATGAGATCATGTCGTGAGTGTGTCAGGTTTTTAGGGGGCGTTTTTGTTTGGCCAAAAGCCAAAGTTTTGGCAACTGGTTCATTGATATTCGTTTTTGATTCAACGATTATTGAACACCAAACACGGCCTAAATAAGGCAATCATCGAACGTGTTGTTGCTGAAGTTTGGCGACATTTTCATTAGCGGAACAAAGCAAAAAAACGTATAAATTTGTATAGCAGAAAGCGAAAGGCAGCCAAAAATGGTTTCGATATGCCACTAAAATGAAGCAAAGCTGCTGGCTGATTGATTTTTAAGATCCCCCGCCCCCCCTCCTAATTAATAAAAAATCACATACATTATTTTGCGGTTTCTGTGATGGCTTTAAAAATAGTCTTTTAATTGCAGCTTCGAGCTGAATTCGAGTTGCATGTGAAGTCTCGCTGTTTGTGTGACCCAATTTGTGCGCAGTGAACCCAGCAACACCCGCTGCGAGTATTACCTTTCTACCCAGGTAACCCGGGCTACCCAGGCTACCCAAGCACACATGCAGCATAAAATTAGCTGCGACAGTTCCAAGGCAGAATCAAGAGGGCTTTGGCTTTGGCTTCTCGGCCAATCTCCAGAGCCACTCCATTCCCACACGCCCACGGGAAGCAATTTCCCACCCCCCTGATCTGAGGTAACTCGGTAGGTATGAGGAGCATGACTTCATGTCACGGCTTTATGAACAGTGAAAAAGTTGGGGAGACGTTGTGAGGGTCGTCGTAATAAGATATTCTGCAATTCACACGGAGAGGGTTAAAGCTACTACTGGGAATGCTTCTTGAAATGACATTCAGTGATTTTTTAAAGAGGAAGTTAATAAGTCTAAGTACCAAATACTATTTACTTGCCCTTCACTGTACAATCTCCCCAAAAAAAGCCAATCTCCCCGCTTGTTTCATGAGCTTGCCCAACCTTTTCTTTTCCCTTACTTAACCCTTTGCACATGCGCATCGAAGCTGCTCCGTTTCCACTCGAATGCCCAAGACTTTGTGTAACTTTGCACATTCAAATTACAACCAGCTGACAAAAGTTTTGCCGCCAGACCAAGTCCAAAGTGGTTGGCCAAC